TTTTTTTTTTTTTTCATCGTTTCTTTCTCTCTTTCCGTACGCCATCACACGGCGTAGCGAAATGGCAAGCTACAGCTCCTATGACGTACAAAGAATACGTAATCTGGGTTAACAAAGTTGGCCGGATATCTGGAATGAAATTATTTTAATATCGTGCCCTGCCGCTCGAACGAGCCGCGTCAAGCTTTGAAAATAGTTTCGAAACTGCAAGATGGGTGAAACTTTGCGTAAGTGGCTCTGCGTGCTCTTCTTTTCTCTCTCTCTCTCTCTCTCTTTTCTTTATTTCATTCTGTGGAAGGGTGGATCGAACTGAAGGCGTGATCGGCGAGAATGATACTTGTGCGTTATTTGTGCAACTAAAATTGTAGACGAAGAGTAAAAATGAAAATTGAGTAACAAAATGTTGGAACCAAATTTCAAATTTGATAGCGAGGTACATATAAATTAGTATTGAGATACTATGTACTATGTTACTTGCAACAAATATATCACTGCACATCTTCAAATTTCTACTTGCGTTGCAAAGATACAATTTCAGAAATAACTGGAAACTTTCAATGGAGAGCACCAGAGAAAAAGAATACAACGATATGCTGGACACTTCAATATGCCTGATACTTCGGTGCTACGTGAACGAAAATGAAAAAATAAAGGGTTAAACGAATAATATGAAAAACCCCAGAGGAAAAGAACAGAGGAGGCTGCCGTTTCTCGCGGGAAGCGCGCGAGACAAAGAAGGGAAATGACGTATCACGAGCGGAGCACGAAGAGTGCGTCCCCGTTTTTCCGGCCAGCCAGATTTTCTATCCAGGGGAATTTCAACGCGATTATTTGCACATCTCCCGGACGGTGATGTAATTGCCTGCCGCGAAACGTATTTCGCCGCGTTCAATTAATATTTACGGTCCGCGAGCGAGTTCAAACAACCGGGATTATAATATCGTCGCTGGATTAAGTGCACGCTGATGTTTCCGAGTTATGAGACTGTAGACGTGGAAGATTGCTGCCGGGGCTCGTGTGTGTTTAACATGCGCATCGTTGCACCGTGCGTACCGCGTTCGTACTGTGTGTACTTCGTCGGCGAAATGGTGTTCACATGACAATCGAATCGAGCGATTCAGTTATTTTTCCTTCCTCCCTTTCGAGTACAGAAAGAACTTCAGTTTAATAACGTGTATCGTGAGCAAGAGTGTACGCTGCAGGATATGACAACAATACGATATCAACGAACGACTTATTGCAGTGGATTTGGAACGAGGAGTCTGAAGGAAACGGGACTTCTTTCTTAAACTAACTTCGCCAATATACGTAATTACCACGAAGAATGAAAAGTTCCTCGGCTGAGGCTGTATTATTTTAATCTCTTGTCCCGAAAGTGGCAGGAAAAAGCATCGCGTCGGCGGGGCAACTTAAAAACGCTCGACATAAAATTCCATTTAGTCTGAGAGGAAAAACCAGCTGCCCACGGGCATGGAAAATTATACAGAATAACATTTTTCTTCGATTGACTTTAGAATTCCATAAACCTCGATCGATCGGAAACCTCCGTTGATAG